TTTGTTGCTTTAAGATCTGCAACATGAAGAGTTTTTTAGCTACCTAAATCAGGTAGGCTACCTTTAATTATAAAATAAACCGTATCAGCCATCTGACACATACTTTCTCCCGTTAGCTTGCCTGCAACCCTTATCATGGGTAATCCATTGGAGTACATATGATTTATTATTGGGAAAGTAACAAAAGTTCCAATTATTTTCACTTTTTGAAACATAATTTTTCCAAGCAATGGGTTTTGTACACTTTTGTTTAGAGTTAAAAGGACTACAACATACTAAATTTGAATGAAAATAATTGGTCAAGCAGATCTTTTTAAATACAATTTTATTCATTATTTTATGGGTTTTAATGGGAAAATCAACTTTTGAACCTTAATTTTTACAGCAATGGAGGTTGTACCATTTAATTCAAAATTACAAGGGCAATAAAAAGCATAATACAATTTTATCAAAATCGTTAAGAGCGAGTTTTTTAAATCAGTTTTAGCGAATTTCCCTATAGGGAAGTAGCTATTACCGTAGGTGGCACGGTAAGACCTAGACCCGGGACCGATTTACTTTTTCATTTTGATGTCCCCAGTGCCAAAAACACTATTCGTTCAAATTTTTATATATGTATATATATATATATATATATATATATATATATATATATATATATAGACATATATATGAAATTTGGTTTAAAGGTGTAAAGCGGGATAAACTTGAATGAGTTCGCGAACCAGCACGATCGGACCATGGGAACGGGGCTTTACGGGGGGTTTTATGGGGTAAAAATTGGTTTTTCTCACTTTTGACCCTCAAAACACAAAATTTCCCAATTTCTCTTTAGACCTTTTTAAAGAGCTTAAAAAAAACAAATAATTTAGTATATAAAAGTATTTTTGTTCGATTATTAGTAACGGAAAAAATTAAAAAAATTGTAAATTTAAAATTCCCATGTTATTCTTATGGAGAATATTGTCAAATGTTGTAGTTTGCTTGTTTATGAATATAGTTTGATCAAACATGGCAAATTTATTTATTTTGTACTAAGCTATCAATATTTTACTCAAAACCCCACTTTATTAGTTTCCTTGTAGCAGCAAACCTAGGTACTCGTTAAACCTAATGTTATTAAAATATATTTAACTGAAAATCAATTCAGACAAATGGAAATTCGCTTAGTCGGCAGGTTTGCTGCGGCGGGGGTATTTTTGTTGTTTTATAGGTTTTATGGGGAAAATGAATTAAAAATTATAATTTCCAAAAGAAAATGAAAAAAAAAAACACCTAGAGATAACATGGATTAGTACCCACAGCTGTGTGATCTGTACCTCTGTACACACAGAGATTACTTTGAAAACCAATTTTTTGGGTTCAGGGAGACCCAAAACCCAAACTAAAAAATTTTGATGAAAGCAATACTTTTTTTACATATATATTTATGTGTTGAAGTATTAAGTATTGAATGTTTAACCACAGTCAAGAATGTAAACAAGAGAAGAAACAGTTTATGAAAATGGCTTTAAAATAGGCTACATTTTACTTTGTTTCTTTCCTATACATGTATATATACTAGGCCTAGGGCCTATATGTAAAAAGTATTGTTTTCGTCAAAATTTTTTAGTTTGAGTTTTGGATAGATGTATCCGTTTTGGGTCTCCCTGAAGCCAAAATAGTTGGTTTAGTTAAACTACAATTCACATTTAAACCGTTTTAAGAAAAGTTGGCCAGCATAACTAACTGGATCTTTGCAAATGAACTTTAGAAATAAATTAATCACAAGGGGGGTGGAGCTCTAAAGGAAATCACCATTTTCCATACTATTCGTCACTATATGCTTGATCGTAACCTGGAGAAATGTATGACACCTCAATAATAAAAAACGGTTAGGTAGGATGGCTGGAATGATGTTACGGGGAAAGCTCTTATTGTATTAAGTATATAGATTTTTAAGGTAAAAATAATTTTTACATTTGTTTTAAGATTAGATTTAAAAAAAGCAATGTTTTTAGCGAATTTCCCTATAGGGATTAAGCTATTACCGTAGGTCTCATGGTAAGACTTAGTCCCGGGACCGATTTACTTTTTAGTTTTGATGTCTCTAGAAGCCAAAAACACCGTCCGTTCAAATTCATATATATATATATTTATATATTTATATGTGTCCGTTAGCACTATAACTCAAGCATAAATGATCCGATTTCGATGAAATTTGGTACAAACGTGTAAACCTACCTGTATTCGCACGAGTTCGCGAACCAGCATGATCGGACCATGGGAACGGGGTTTTATGGGGGGATCTATGGGGTAAAAATAGGTTTTTCTCTTTTTGACCCTCAAAACATAAAATTTCCCAAATTTCCTCTAGACCATTTTGAAGAGCTTAAAAAAAACAAATAATTCAGTATATTGGAGTGTTTTTGTATGGTTATTGGTTGTGGAGAAAATTGTAAATTAAAAATTCCCATGTTATTCTTATGGAGAATACGTAAACTGATGTAGTTTGCTTGTTTATGCATATATTTGGATCAAACTTGGCCAATCTATTTATTTTATACTAAGCTATTAATATTTTACAAAAAAAAAACACTCTTTATTACCCTGTAGGCAGCAAACCTAGGTACGGTACTCGTTAAACCTAATGTTATTTGAACAGATTTAATTGAAAATCAAATCAGACAAATGGAAATTCGCTTAGTCTGCAGGTTTGCTGTGGCGGGGGTATTTTTATTTAATTATGGATGGCTGATTCTAAGAAAATTTTAAAATGTTGTCATTCTTTATGATATGGCCATTAACATTCACAAGTGAAGACATGTAAAAAGATAGTTACAATAAATCTCATGTTAAAAAAATAAAAGAAAACTTTTTGTTTTTAATTTAATCTAGAATTGCTGATTATTTTCTAAGATATAGCAGAAAATGTGGTGAATCCTTTTAGGTTACTAAACAATTTATCAAACATAATCTTAAAATTGAAGAAATGTGAAGAAAAAACACAAATTAATTAAGGAAAAAGCTTGAACATACGTTATCAAATAAAAACAAGCCAGAAATATTAAAAAATGTACTTTTTTACATTAGAATTATTATACACTAGGTATATTAAATTTCATTTTCCAAAAAATATTTGTCTTAATAGCCTTTTTTCAGCCCATAAGATATTAAAAAGTCTAATTTTTAGCGAATTTCCCATATAGGGCAGTATTTAATATATTTGAACCTGCTGTGTGAAATTGTGAAATCAAAATTCATTTTTGTTCTTTGTTACCATGGATACCATCAATCAATATTTACTTTTAGCGAATTTCCTATATAGGGAATAAGCTATTACCGTAGTACTCATGGTAAGACCTGGACCCGGGACCGATTTTTTTTTTCGTTTTGAGGTCCCTAGAGGCCAAAAACACCATCAGTTCAAATTCATATCTAATATATAAAATTCTCGTGTCACAGTGTTTGTCTGCAAACTCCTCCGGAACGACTTCACCGATCGTTATGAAATTTGGTGTGTAAATTCTGTAGGTATGCGAATCGGACGTAAACTATTTCCCGTTTCGAAATTCTTAAAAGGGCTCCGCCCCAGTGGCTCTGGAGTTTCCCATGTTAACCTTATGAGAAATGGAATTAATGAATATTAACAGCTGTTTCAATTAAACAAGTTGGTTCTGTTCTATGATGTTCAATAGCATTAAAGTTACAAGGATTACCAACAGGGTGCAGCACTATTATTTCTTTTACATTTATGACAACAGCTAATTTGCAACCAAAAGGTGAGTGAGCGTAGCGAACGAACTTCAACCTGGAGGCGAGTTAGCGTAGCGAACGAGCTAACCTGAAGGCAAGTGAGCGCAGCGAACGAGCTCCAACCTAGAGGTGAGTGAGCGTAGCGAACGAGCTCCAACCTAAAGGTGAGTGAGCGTAGCGAACGAACTTCAACCAGGACGTGATTGAGCGATGCGAACGAGATCATCTTGAAAATTAAACCTAACGGTACTTTCTTTCCATCGGTCTGTCTTAGGGGAAACCTATAACTTAGGCGATACGAAGTTCGCCGGGTCAGCTAGTATATATATATATTTATATATATATATATATATATTTATATATATGTGTCCGTTAGCGCGATAACTCGAGCAAAAACGATCCGATTTTGATGAAATTCGGTACAAACGTGTAAACCTACGTTTATTCGAACGAGTTCGCGAACCAGCATGATCGGACCGTGGGATCGGGGGTTTATGGGGGGTTTTAATGGGGTAAAAATGGGTTTTTCCCATTTTTGACTCAAAATACATAAAATTTTGCAATTTCTTTCTAAACTATTTTGTAGAGCTTAAAAAAACAAATAATTTAGTATATTGAAGCGTTATAATGCACCTAATCGTTACGGAGAAAATTCCAAAAAATTGTAAATTTAAAATTCCCATGTTATTCTTATGGAGAATAAGTAAACTGTTGTAGTTTGCTTGTTTATTAACATATTTTGCCCAAATTTGGAAAATGTTTTTATTTCTTACTAACTATTAACATTTTACATAAAAAAACACTTTTACCCTCCCTGTTGCAGCAAACCTAAGTATGTGTTAAACTGATTCTATTTAAATAAGGAATGTGATATTTTTAAGGAGACGTTTTAGTGTAAATCCAATCAGGCAAATGGAAATTCGCTTAGTCTGCAGGTTTGCTGCGGCGGGGGTATTTTTATAAATCATCCCTGCTATTTTATTAAACAGCAAATACATTACAGAGTTGATTGGCAAAAAAAAAACACAACATGCTTAAATTGTGTACTGGCTTTAACATATAGCTCGTTAACTAAATTAATTATTTTTTTGTCACTGAATGATTTTTAATGAATAAAACAACAGAAGAGAGAAAACAACTGTGCACAGCTGATCGACCTAATAATACAGTGTTGCTAAAGATTAAAAAATTGTACTGAAATATTAAGTCGTTTTCCTATAGATATTGTAATGGGAAACCCTATGTCAAGGGTCAGGGACCTGCGATTGAGTGAAACCACAGCCACATATAATCAGCAGTCAATGTCAGCAGCCAGTCAGTGAGTTTCCTCCGATCATGAAGGCAGTGTTAGTGTTCCTGGTCTGTGTGAGCGTGAGTGTATTGAGTGCGCCAGCACCAGATCCACAAATTGACTCCAGAATACAGAGCTTTACCAGCATCACTTACGATGGTAATACGTATTTAGCTGACAAAACAGACAGTCATGTACAGCTACCGACTTTCAAAAAAGACTTTAGCCATGTACATATAAAGAAAATAAGTTTTAAGATAGGGCCGAACGGAGAAATAACTGAAATCGACGATGATGCAGAGCCGTTTCAGTAGGATGTGTGAAGACAGGGAACAAAAGAAGGTAAAAGTTCTTGGTTTTGAAATTGTTTTAAGAAGTTTGCTGAGTGAAATTTTTTTACACCTTTGTATTTTAAAGCATGAATCTTTTATGAAGTTGGAGCGTTGACTATGAGAACAAACGTTTTATTTGTCATTTTTAGAAATTTAAAAAAATCAATACAAACACTCTGGTGGATGAATATATTTATAATAGAAAATTATTCAAAAATAACTAAAACATAATGTAAATCTATTTTATTTCATGTGTGTCTCCACACAATTAGCATTTTTTACAGTTTTGTAAGGATTGGTCCCTATTCTGGTCTGGTTACTATCTACCCTTTTTGCTAGATAGCATCCATACAATAACATACAAAAATTCTATCAAAAATTAATTCATAGCCCTATGACAAATTATGAGATCTCTGGGTACATAATAATAATCTTGCTTCTAGTTAGCCAGAGACCTTCAAATTTGAAGGCCAACACTAACTTCTTGGCAGCCCAAACAGTATTGTTTTCCAGTACATATTGTTTACTTCCTTTGACGTATGGCTGAATCTTTTGACTATAGTAGGCCTAATTTACGGTACTTTAAAAAAAAAATCCAACTCGAAAAAACAAATTTAGTTTGTCTCAGCTATACCAGAAAGTAATTCAGCGATATGTAAAAGAATGAAAAGTAAGCAAAGAGAGGACGAAAAACCACTTGACCAGTCTTCCTATCCAGTTAAAAACCGGATTCCATGTCAACATTATCATATGAAACTGCTCTCTAAATTATACCTGCCATGATAAATTTCTCTCATTCACAAGGGGATTTTCTGATTTGTTTAATTGACTAATCAGTAATCTTCTGGTAATCCCGTTGCAAATCAATGAGGAAAGATACAAATATTTTGCTGTTTTCCTCATTCCCCAATCAGACCTGAACCATAAATTCTGTGAACTGTTAAATCTTATTTATTATCAAGGTCGTTATTATCAGAGGATGATTTTACTCCAATGGCAGAATTACAACTGTAATATAACTAGGGTTGCTTTCAGAGAGGTGAAAGCCAGTTGAGCGGAACAAACGTGATTTTATATTTGTATAAGTAACTAAATGTAAAAAAGTCAATAGATGTACTAATGCTGGTTTTATTGATTAAAATTATAATAATTCAGATTTGTTTTTACTACATCTTGTTATTCAGATACCTCTTCCAAAAGTGCATTATGGTGGTTTTGACCAGGAAAATATTACAGTAGTTGGAATCTGGTATTAACATCCAAAAAGGGCATTAAAGTATAAATAAAAAAGAGAAAGGAAATTTAACATTTCAAATTCAACTGTAGCCTACAACAAAAACATTGGACTTCATTTTTCACCCTTACAATCGGTTAAAGTAGGCTATATTAAAGTATAAAAAAACAGTAACTATTAAAAAAACGAGTATTAACACGACCGCCTTTAACTACAAAGTATTACAACAAGAGGGGAAATTTGACATTTAAATTCAACTGTGCAACATAAACATTGGTCTTCATTTCAACCCCTGCAATCGGTTAAAAAACTCAGCTTTCTTTGCTAGAAATAATTTATCAGGTAATTAATTATTTACTTATTATGGTTGTAACTGGACGTATGTATAGTCCGTGGCTTGGCAATCAAATAACAGTATTTATATAGGATAAGCTACTGTTGTCAACATTTTGCTAGAATAAAGTCAATGCTAGAATACAGTAGATGGTTTGTTAAGATCATATGCAAGCATTTTTGAACTCGTTTCCCCGTTTAACCAACTATTCCCAAAGAAAAAAATTATATGGTGCAACACAAATAAACAACTCGATCACCTACCTATAACCTACATTACACTTTACCTCCCTAACCTAACCTTACTTCAAAACACTTAATGTAGTCACGAATACTCATAAACCCCGACCTACCTTCCCCACATGCCTAAATTAGATCAGTGTTCAATCTGCGTTTTATTAATAAGTGTAATAACTTACTGCACCGTCGATGTAATTCAACATAATATAACCTGTGATGTATTATCGGATTAAATATCGATTTCGATGCGGTTCGATATATCGCTTACTAAATCCTGATTTCTAAAATTGGCTGTTTCTAATCAGCTGGCAACACAAATAAGTTCCCAAGAAAGTAGTCACTGATCCGTATCCCTTCGCTCCTTGTTTATGCTCCGCGCATTGAGAAAGTAGTTCCGTATATTTTCTCGATTTTCAGTTAATTCCGCGCCTTAAAAACATGTTTTAATGGCATTTTCTTGTTTATTCCAATCATAGGAATGGTTTAAAAACGTTTAAAAGAAACGTCTAGAAAGTTCAGAAATACCTTATGATTCTCTTGTTTACATTATTCTTGTAAACAAAAAACTGTCATATGGCTACTTTAGTCCCATAAGCCTAATGTTAAAATTTAAGAAATTTTAAGTTTGTTTTAAATTGCATTAGCATTATCTGATTGAAATTTGATTGTTTATTAACCATCTCACTATTAGTCTAAGTAATCTTGTTAAGTTTAGCTGAAATGTGTTCTGCCGTTATTGAGTGATGTTGCTTTATTTGTTGCATTGAAGTTGATCCCAAAGAGCTACGCTCAATTATAATATTCCTTTTTTAAACACTATTAAATGTTGTAAATAAACAGTATCAACACACTGGAGACATTTCTCCCATTACATTACCAACGATGCTTAAAATGGGTATGTGTATGTGATTATGATATTTTTTTAATAAAAGCACAATTGCAATACTGTACCTTTTAACCATATTTTTTACAGAATTGGGGGTTGTACCATTTTGTTTAGGGTTAAAAGGAACATAACATACTAAATTTTCCGTTATCACAAACATTCCAAGTGAGTGCATGAAATGTCTGCCGACATTATCAGTAATGCAGCATAAACGACTGGAATTAACACGGTGTTATTTTTCACGTAGCTAGTGATGGTAATTTACTGAGCATACCAAAAATATGTTATATTGTTTGTGTTGGAGGGATAAGCTCATTAGTTCATATACTATCTCCGTTTATGCAAAAACAACCAATTACAGGTAATAATCAACATTTTTACAAACTCTCTCCAAATAAAAAGTATTTTATTTCTAGACCAAAGGTCCATCACAGAGTCTGCAGCATGTGTCACTACAACATTTAGAAACTACCCTGTGCCGAAATCTCATCTGATGAACAAACGCTTATCTCGTACGTGGCGGGGAGATTCGATAGTTTACAAAATTCAAAAACACACAGGGAAGCGTATTACGTCAGCTACAGAGCTGCAAATTGTGCCATTCTATTCACAAATTATGCCAGTGAGTGGGGAGGTGCCTTGTTGCGGTGTACAAGGAAAATACAGATTTATATACATAAACATCCATTACTTAAAAAAACACCCTTGTATTATGAGAATCAAAAGGTTAACTCACTTGGGAAAAAGTAAACAAAAATACTATAAAAAAGAAATCTAACAGATTTATGCATCTTCAATACTTTAAATGTGATTAAATATAGCCCTTTAATTGAGGTTAGTGTCCTTAGGAGGGTTTATTGATAACTGATATTTTTCAGGGAAGTTTCACATCAAAACCTTCAATTGTATATGAGGTTAACAGGTGCGGGGTTAAGTGTTCCGTTCCTCAAAACTGTATGATCCTTATTAGCCTTTTAAATAGTTGAAATATTTAAATTAAATGAAATGACAATTTATTTGTCACATAGAATTTACATGATTGTGATACATCACCAGTAAACATATGACATGTAAGTTTTTTTACAACAAAATACATATATTACATAGTAGTCATAATAATACATTATAGTATGCATTTATCATATTGTCGCCGTGACCGTAATTTTTGATCGCGGCCCTGTCTAGATCATCTTCTGTGGCAAAATGTATAACATCACCCATTATCGTGGCTAAATTGAGAGCATCTCCCTCTAGCATAAGTTCTAAGACCTCATCATCGTCTCCCGTGATCGTGGCAATATTTCTACTACTCCCTGCGGTCGAGAAGACATCATCATTGTATCCCGCGATCGTTGAGAAGTTAATAGCATCTCAAACTGTGTTCCAAGTGTTAATAGAAAAAAACTTTTAGGGCTTTTGCATCAAACAAATTTTTTAATTATCAATTTTTTGTCTCATTTTCACATTTTAGGATGCTAGGTTCTAGCCCAGAACTGTTTTACATATTATTTCAGCATAGTCCTAGAGGGTAACAGCATTAGCACATAGATAAAATCTTTTGGTGATTGGTAGGATTTAAGACTGAGACCTCGGGCTCCGAAGCCCCGCGTACTTGTTGACTTACTAAAATCCCATTTGATGAAAATATTTATGAGTTCCCTTTTAAAGTATTGATTGAGAAACACTTTCTTCTTACTTCTGGATAGTAGGGGCAAATTATAGTATCACTTATTTTCGGGTTTTGTCTCTAACACAAAACTCACATGAAACAAGCTTAAAATTTTACAAAAGAAAAAAAGCTATTAAAAAGGTGAATGGTACTATTTATTTTAAGGATCTATTTTCATCCAATAGACTTACTGTCTAAAAACTTCTTCATTTGGATTACAATAATTCTAATATTGTATAGCAAAATTATAATTTTCAGTGGATTCAGGTATAAAAAATGTATGTACACAGTGACTCTTACAACGACTTGCAGTATCCTAAATCATGATTGATTCGTAGCAAACGGATTGATGTTTAACTTAATAATAACAACTTACGTCAATCAATCCAGTATGTTTATGGAGGACGCACGTTTCGACCTTTAGGTCATCTTCTGCTCCGCTTTTACACTAGGTTTTTACGTACTTAGTTGCATTGTTGGTGTAGCAACCGCGTCAAATAATTTACATTGTGAAACATAGTCAGACCACGTAAACATAAAAACACAAAACACGACACTGACGAAGACGAAAACATTTAAATACTATCACCGTGCGCACGGCTGAACGGGCTCGGGACTGCGGCGGCACTGACTTGTCCAGGCACCCTGCTTTGGACTTTGAACATGACGTCACTCACTCCTTCTTGTAATGTTAATTAACATTCCAATGAGTACCACAGACAAACAGAAGGAATTGAATACCATTAAATATATAGCCCAGCAAAATGGTTATGGTCCAGCTCTTATAGACAGAATGTATAATAAACGCATGGCAAAATATATATCACCTAATTTATCACAATCAGAATCAAACAAGAAGTATGCATCTGTTAGGTATTCAAAGAAAACTGAACACATTATCAAGAAAACGTTTAAAAAACAAAATATCACCACATCTTTCAGATCAGAAAACAATTTACAGAAAATCTTAAGCAATACGAATAAACCTAACAATATAAATAAATACAAAGCTTCAGGTGTATACCAACTTAATTGTAATGATTATAACACATTTTATATAGGACAGACCGGCAGATCTTTTGAACTGAGATTTAAAGAGCATGTTAAAGAGCTTGAGAATATTAACAGAACGCCAGGAACAAATATTAAATCAAAATATGCGGAGCACTTAAATGAACTGGGACACACTTATACAAATATAAGTAGTAACTTGGAAATCTTAGCGAGGGAAAAGAAAGGACAGCGGCTTGACAGAATAGAGGAAATGGCCATATACAAGGACTTCAAGCTAAACAAAAATATTTTAAATGAAAAAATTCATTTAGACGCCAATCCTGTATATGATACCATTATTCGAGTGACGGATAATACAAGAAGGAGTGAGTGACGTCATGTTCAAAGTCCAAAGCAGGGTGCCTGGACAAGTCAGTGCCACCGCAGTCCCGAGCCCGTTCAGCCGTGCGCACGGTGATAGTATTTAAATGTTTTCGTCTTCGTCAGTGTCGTGTTTTGTGTTTTTATGTTTACGTGGTCTGACTATGTTTCACAATGTAAATTATTTGACGCGGTTGCTACACCAACAATGCAACTAAGTACGTAAAAACCTAGTGTAAAAGCGGAGCAGAAGATGACCTAAAGGTTGAAACGTGCGTCCTCCATAAACATACTGGATTGATTGACGTAAGTTGTTATTATTAAGTATCCTAAATACCTAGGTTTTTATTAAAGTAGGTAATTATCAAATGATCTTTTCTCAAATTCCAGATTCCTGTTACAGCAGATGAAGATGTAAAGGAAGAATAGGAGTAACTCACCACTCTTTACTCCAAATTTTAAAGGTGTACCTAGTTGCTCAACTTTCTTTGTTCCAAATGTAAAAAAATATAAAATAAATTTAATGTTTTATTCTTAATTTTGTAACTATTTATTGTATTGTATGTAATGTATTTGTAAAAAGTGTACAAAATATTTCTGTACATTTCATTGTAAATATATTAAGTAATAAAAACTACTTATTATCATTGTTATCATTCTCATTTCGATTTCATACTATAAAATGTGATGGTTAATGGTTTCGTAATTGGTTGGACTTATTGAAACATTTTATTTTTATTTAGTCTGATTTAAACAGTTAAGTAGGTAAATTGTTTTAGGAAATATAAGAATCAAATTTTATTATACTCAAACTAACGTCCAACTCTGTAAAGTTATTCTTTCACCAAAATTATTTATGACACTGTTGTTAAAAATGCTTAATGAATGAACAATAAAGATATTTTAACTTTGACTTTACGAGAATGTTATTGCTATTAAAAGTTTATGAAATTATTCATGATTGTTTTTTAATAACTAACACAAGTAGATTTGTCATCCCATTATAAAATTTGAAGCTTATTTTTGTGTCTTGTTCATGTTGGTGACACTGATTGCTAATGTTACCGAAATTTAGTTTTTACTATTTTAGGGTTAATTTTATGATTTGTAATTTACTTTTTGGTTATATAAGTAGGGGACGAGCTTGATGTTATAAACTAAAGCATAACCTCTCTAGTAATGATTGTTAGTAAATAAAAAACGGTCCTAGGTAAAGTAGTGTACGCAGCTCACGTAAATATTCTGAACGACACTTGTTGTAGTTTTTAAGACACGCGCCAAAAGGCTCCAAGCGCAGATAGCTCAGGAGGTAAGGTAAGAGGCTCACAAGGCGAAGGTACCAGGTTCGAAACCCGTCTGGGCCAAAAACTTTTTTCTCGTTTTTTTCTTCAAAATTTGTGTTTATTAACTATTTAATCAATTTACTAAACTTATAATTAAGCTTTTCATACTAAATCTATATTATTTTGTGTTTTTTATGTTCAGGCCCAGACCACACTTTATCCCAGGGACATCCCATAGTAGTCCCATATGTCCTGAGAATGCCCTGAGGACTACCCTGGGATGACCTCGGATGTCCCACGGATATGCGTGTGAGCTTATCCGTAGGACATCCCCGGGCGGGGACATTACGCATTCCTGTGGATATCCTGTGATATCCCAAGTTGACCATAGGACCACTATGGGATATCTTGCATATCCTGTCGCAATATCCGTGGGATGTCCTGAGGAGAAAGTGTGCTGTCTGGGCTCGTATCTTAAATTTCTACTCATATCATTAACACTATCTTTAGACAATAGTTGCGTAAATTATCAACAAATTTTTGTCATAAAAACATATTGTAATATCATATAAATATTATGGCCAGTGTGGCAGATCCTGTCGCAAGTCCAAGTTCCAGTGAAATTTCCAGAAAAGTCCCGTACAAGGCTCTTGGGCCCTCCCAGATCGATGGCCCGCTAACCACCACTGCCTCGTAGTAGTCAATAACAAGGCAAGTTAATAACAGTTCAAGGTTAAAACTCCTTGACTCTATTAAAACTTAATTAGGTAAATGGAAATCTGTTTGGATTACAAGAAGATTCAAAAAGGGTTCTGGTTTCTGAGGTTTGAGAGGATGCGATAAATGAAAGCAAGGCAAGTCATTATGAACACATTTTTAAGCAGGCCTTCTTTTAGGGTTCTACGAAAATGTTTACAATATACTATTTTTTTTCTAAAAACTCTTGATTCAGATGAGTGAGCACCAATTCAATTCGATTCTAAGACAGACGCACATGTTCATGCTATTGCTGAATATGACTCGGGAAGGTTAAAAATTGAGTGAGATGACACAGAGGATACTGACCAAGATCTGATGTTTCTTAGGCTCATTTTTAAAAGCAATGATCAAGGACAGCTGTGTGATGTTTCAAACCATAACAAATTGGCTCACTTTTCTCAGGATGGAATTGATAACTGTTTACCAACCACTCAACTACCCGGCTGTATTCATATAGAAGTTTAAACACTTTTGGCACCATTCTCTACAGCGAGGGTTTGAACTTAAACGGGACTCGGAATTATGCTTACTTGTTGTCTAATCACATGGAAACGGACAACAATTACAACAGCAAAAAAACAAAACAGAAGACAATTACATCAACAGCAACAAGACAACAGAAGATGATTACTACATCAACATGACAACAAAAGACCGAAGGGTTTAGGACTTACCTTGTCGCTCCAAGTCTCTTGCTCGATCTTCATGATGGCGAGACTCCCTCGTCAGTGTTGTCAGGGCGTTCTCTGTCCTGCCACAGGTTAGGGTCAACGTTCTTTCCTTCTCCTCCAACTCCTATGGTTTTAAATAAGAATATTAGAAAAGTTCACTTCCTATTCTCCCTGTGACGTAGCCAGGATTTCAAAATGGGGGGTCGACCGACCAGGCCCAGGTAGAAGGGGGGTCCTGGCAAATTTTTTAAAATTTAGGCCATAAAACGGTATTTTTTAGCTCTCCTGGCATTGAAAATTATCAACTCCAGCATCAATGCAATATTATTATATAATTTTTTGTTTGATTTAACCCTTAGAGTGCCAGGCGAGAAATAAAAGTAACGCTCAAAAAATGCCGATGATTTTTCCCGAAGGTCGCGCTAAAAATGCCAAGCGCGATCTGGCGATTTTTAGGTTAAAATTTCGTAAAAATCGAATTTTCGATATTTCGACCGACGAAAATCGATGTATCGCATCTAGTAACTTTCGACTCAATGTTAATATATGGGTTAAAAGAATCCGAGTATCCATTCGGTTGTTATGACAACTGTTCGATCATTACGAAACGTCCGGTCAGCCGGACGTTGGCACTTTTGGCTCGTTCTAAAAACGTCCGGTCGGCCGGACGTCGGCACTTTTGGCTCGTTTTAAAAACGTCCGGTTCCCCGGACGTTTGCACTCAAAGGGTTAACAAAGAAATATAATACATTGGACCGGAAGGGGGGGGGTCCGGACCCCCAGGACATCCCCTGGTGATTCTCCACACCTAATATTGATGCTGATTACATTGCAGGAAAATAATGCACTACGACCTAAAATTCATTTATGCTCTGCTTCTTGGATTCAGAGCATCACCTTCAGTCTCCTTGACGACATGGGATAGTACATCATGCAAAACCATGACTGAGTACTTTGGGACTCTGCTCGACATATTTTAAATCTCAGTATGAAATAAGGTATGAGTATTGGATAAATAAGATGAATGGTTTGTTACTGAGTAAGATCTGGTTCTATGGCCAGGTTCATTAAAAGCCCAGTTTTAAATGTATCAATATCCCTGCTGCAGCAAACCTGCAGATAGTAAGAAAACTTCCATTTGCCTTACAGTATTGGTTTTTCACTAAAATATTTTCTTAAACTTGTCATATTTGTTCGCTATTAAAAAAAAAGGTTTATTGAGTACCTACTAAGGTTTTGCTGTTACAAGGAAGATAGCAAGGCTTTTTTTAGAAAAATATTTTTTAAGCTTAATTTAATATGAAATACATATGTAAGAAAATTTGATAAAAAATATCCACAAAGCAAACTACAATAGTTACTGTAGTTGTCTGGTTATCCATAAGAAAAACATAGGTTTTTATTTGACTTTTTTTCTAATTTATAGGTATATAAAGTTATCATCTTCTAAAGCTCTCTATATGTACCACAACAAAGATTTTATTGCATTTACTATATTTGCAAAATCACTTTGCAATTAGTAGCATTTCTCAATACATAGATTTCAAGCAACAAGTCTAAGAGTAGATTCTATTCAGTAGATGCTTGTTTTATCCACTCTCCTTATAAACATTTTTAAATTAATAGTCTAAGTTGATTTTCGTCTCCAAACAGTCCAATCCTATCTGGTATTTTTTACGCAACCGATCCAGAAAATACCTGTACGGTATGCTACCTGTATGCGGCGGCGAAGTGAAGCAATGATGGCGTTCTGTCTCGCGGCTTGTTCCTTGAGCTGTTCCGTCTCTGCACTGAGTTCCGCAGCCCTCTGGTCTCGGCTCCGCAGCTGACCCTTCATCTCCTGCAGCTAAATCAAATTACATAATATTTTAGGACTAAAAATTCTTTATTACATACTGACATGTACATGAATACAAAACACACTATAAAATAACAAGTTAAATCCACTTAAAATCAACAGTTATCAGTGGATCACTTAGTGTTTTCTTATAAAAATTCATCTACAGATTGCAATGTACAGATCGTAAGACTAGAGAAAATAGTGAGGAAAATGTGATATTGAGAACTTTCAGAAACTATTATCAAGAAAGAAAAATTAATAAATTCACCATTCATAAGGTTTTCTAATAAAAGGAAAAAACAAACAAGTTTCATTTAAAACAAATAAACTTGTAACAAACAAAGGTTTGTAATAGCTTGTAATAAACTCAGTTACACAATAATTATTTGTGTAACTAACTAGTGTGCTTTGCGCTAGCGTTACACATTATATTTTTCCTACATTTACATGTTAAGCATATAAAAATTAGTCTCTCAAACACTCTATATACTGTACATACAACACGTTTTTAGATTAGGTTAATCTAAGCTTTGAATGAAATGGGAAACGCTGCACCAGCTGATCGTAGTCCAAGTATATAATTAGTTTTGCCAACTTATTTCTAAGCATTCACGTATTATGTGCCTAATAAAAGCACACTTTTTTGTGTTGTTTGGTTGGAGTACTGGAGTGTGGCAAAAGTAAGCAAATTCAGCAATCAACTACTTTGCGTGCTATAATCAGTGCAAGAAAGCCCGCTTTGTCAGGTAACTGTAGAAAATTAACTATTAAAATTTTTTAAGATAACTGAAAAACTGTTGGCGATTGGTGCAACTAATTGAAATAAACACTTTTTTAGTGTGGTACGAAATAATTCAGCTGGTCTGTAGTTTATTTTTATTTTTTTATATTCGGTTGAATTTTTGAAAGAAAATAGACACTCTGACCGACTTTATTCATTGGACTGAGATTAGTTATTATGCTATTAGTAGTAGTAGTATCAAATCAATATTAGAGACCAACTGAAACCTTTAGGGTAGTTAATTTATAGTCAAGAAACGTTAATTTAATTCAACCCTACAATCCGCATGCAAGATGCAAATTTCATTGATGTT